AATTGAACAAAAAAATAAAAAAAAAAAATAAAAATAAAAAAATTAAGAAGCTACCTTATCATGAATATCACATGTACAATTATAGTACACTAATAGGGTGGGTCTAAATTCTTACAAGGATTATGAAGATGAACTTGTAGAAGAAATATGGACTAAATGATTGTTTATTTTATTTACATATTTAATAGACTCTAGGATGATCATCATTTTCATAATCTATAAAACAAGGGAGTTGATTAATTCATTTTAGCCACAACTTGCAAAATAGCAAACAATCAACACATCTTAAAGCTATCAAAAGTCTCCTTATATGTGTAGTCCTATGGCATCATCTTGAGGTAGATTCAAGTTATTGTTGGTTTTTTCATTTTAAGGGAAATATAAAAACTTTTCATTCTAATTAATTGACACATACCTCTATGAAATCCACAAATTCTTTTATGAGGCGGTCTAACTGTTAAACAGGTCGACCCATCATACTTTATTTTAAACAAAAATGTGTACTTATGCTATGAAATGTGATACTTTTGTCTATACTGTCGTTTAGAATATGACATTTTTCATAAAAATCTATGTCGACAAGTACTAAATGTCAAACAATTCCACATCGTTTGCCATAATCTTGGATTATATTCATCCCGAGGGTAAATCAAATATATTTTGCATTTTTTATCACTAAAATTTAACAACTTCTCATAATTTAAACCATGATGTGTTGAAGAAGATATGAACAACACGTGATGTGTGGTCACTTGTCCAACTCAATGAACAATCTCCCCACATTTGGAGCCCAACACTCTATATATACAACAACTCAAAAGGAAGTTTCAAAAACCCCTAACAAAAAAATATAAAACACAGATATATAAGAGATAGAAATATATAGAAATCATAAAGAACAGAATAATGTCTTCCTCTGGAGTTACTACAGCTATCAGAGGAGCAATTTTGTTGCTGGCCCTTTTGGTTTTTCTTGGAAATATTATGATGTGGATCATTATGCCGACCGATACTTATTACAACGACTGGTTGCCTCATATTCTTGCCGATACGAATTCAACCTTCTTTGGCATACAAGGTCATAAATTTATGCTCTTTATTACATCTTCTACATATGTTCTCGCAAATATTGAAGTAGTGTGATTACATATTTGCATGAAAACTAAACTCCTAACAGGTCCAATAATGTTGGATTTCACATTTCCCATATTGTTCATCGCCGTGCTTGGCTGCTTGTATTTGCATCTGGGAAACAAAACAAAGATTGTCACCACTAAAAGGTAATTTTTATATAGTTCTTGATTTCAAATTTTTTTCAAGATTTGGTCCTCTAGTTTTCTTTACTAATAGTTGATTTTGGATGATGTTTTGTGACATGAACTAAAAAAAA